AAGGTAGAGGTAATAAGCGTCAGCTGCAAGGAAAACTGGTGCACTGCCAGCGCTTGCTACATAGGCACACTGACCTCCACTAGGGAGCTGGGTGGCGCACCGGCGCTACCCGAAGCGGGAGCTTGCGAAGCCGCCGGAAGTGCCGCCGCTTGTCCCGGAAGGAGGTCGTCTGCTGCGCTACGCGGTACGCGCGACGCGAGTTTATGCCGGCGTGCTGCTGTTCTTTGGATCGCGTTTCGTTAATTTCTTTTTTGTAAATTCTTGCTCGTGGTTAGAAGAGTAAGCCATGTAACAATAAGGGCTATGTAGGCGCAGATCAGGGTTTGTTTAATGCGCTTTAATGAGACAGCGTATGCACGTAAAACTGCCTTTTTTCTGACGCGCGTCCGTTTTCTTTTTCTCAAGATTCGGAGTGGCTGTCCGGTCTTGTACAAGGCGTGGGATCTAGCGACGCAGGCCGCGTTCATAGAAGCTTTTACGGCCGCTTGCACGTGTCTCTGCGGGTTTCTGAGTGTTTGTTGTATTTGTTTGGTTTGCTCTCGAACTTTTCCTTTTTTTCTCGTGGTAGAGAGTGGCCGTCGCTTGAGGGTTACGGGGGGCGTTTCCAACAGTGTTTTCAGCCCGGATTTGGTAATCCACCAAATCAAGTCCCCAGGAGACAGTGATTGGTCTGTGTATCGGGGGTTGGAGCCTAAGTAACCCATCAAAACCACGACACAAGGTCATAGGGTCGAATCCTCAACTTACCTTAACCTTTACTGCACCTAAATGAGAACTTCAGCAACAAAGTTTCCGATAACTCAGACCAAGCTGTTCCCTGTTTTATTATAACCAGTGTGTTTTATAATAAAAACCGTGTGAATAGAATTCACTCCACATAAGCTTGATATCGATTTATAGTAACAGAGAACATGAAACTGAAGAAAATGACCTGAAGGCCGAATGGCCCGTTTATTGGAGCTGATGTAGAAGACACGTACTGGTCAATTTTTGTGAATGTTTTACTGGTGCTTGAATAGGATAAGCTTTGTCAGCTGCTTGCGGATGTTTGATCCAGTTATCTTGGCCGTCGCCGTCTTCGCCGTGTGATGCATCCTTATCTTTATATAGGAGGCGATCACACACTTTACCAGTCGCACAAAGTGGTTTGAGTCAGCCGCGGATTCGAACATGTGATCATGTAACTCGGGGTATAGCTTCTCAAGGTGACCGGAAAGCTCTGTCATAACTGAAACTGTCAATGAATCGGAAAGATTCCCCTTCTTTGGAAGGCTTGTGCCATGCAAGTTGTCTTCTCTGCGTATCACTTTCTCTGTGGTCTGGCAGATGTAAATTGTAGATGAGTGTTCCCACAATCAAATAGTGTTCGGCGGTTTAATGAAGCGTCATACATATGTGCACTCCAGGCCTTCGGATTTCGGATTGCACAACAGAGAGTGCGGTCGCAGATATCGTCTTCCATTCACGCATTGCTAGTCTACCGCGCGAGAAAGGCGCTATCGGGAATTCTCCGGAGCGGCGTCGCAAAAGCGCGCACGGCGTGCCGTCTCAAATATCAAGTGTGTGGCCTTGGGCAGTGGTATATATCACTTTTGCCGTGCATGTGAGAAGCTACATCCGGGAAAGATCTTCTTGCAGGCCCTGACTTTGCGTAGTAATGATTGGTGCACAGAGAAGAAGAAGTTACGGGGAATTAAGAATGGTTTAAGGGCACTTACGCATGAAACGTCTTTTCAGAAGACTTTTCTGGCCTGCTTGTGCAATTAACAGCACAGCAGGTAGGCATTCTTTTGAGAGAAGTCCAGAAAACACGCACGCCGGCAGCAGTCAGGCGGGAGCAAGCACCGGCTTCCGGGACAAGGCCGCCGACTTCCGGTGGCTTCAAGCCGGCGCGCTCTAAGCGCCATCCAGCTCCCTAGTGGAGGTCAGTGCATAGGCATGTAAATGCACTTGCGTGACGGTCAGACAGTCTGGTTACCGTGTACTCTAGCATTATGCCTTGGTGGGCTACATGCTAGTAAGCATGTCGCGCTTTCTCCTGAGCCCCGGTTTTCTCGTGAAATTTTTTCATCTTGAAATTAAGATCACTTCTGCATTATTTATTTTCTTTATTTATTAAGAAATACTGCAGGCCAATACTTTGACCCAAGCAGGAGGGGCATTATAACAAGTGAAAAAAACAAAAGAAAATATTTACATGCAAAAAAAACAATGTAATACGAAATGAACATAATGTGTCAAAAAGAAGCAGCAATCACCCCTTGACTTCACCGAAAATTCATAATTGAGTGAATTCACAATTCTGTTCAATTGAATTAATTTCCACACCATTGCCAACACAACTTTTTCATTGCTTCGGTATTGATAGGGGTGTAGTAGATTACCTGTACTCTGTTAAGAAAGTGACCGACATTTACATTTATTGCATTTGTTTTCATATTTATTGCATGCACATCACCACAGAAAATTGAGCTAGTTGACTGAGATTCAACAAGCAAGAAGGTGAGGCATGCAGGCACAGACAACAGAAAAAAACAAAACAGTGAAAATGTGGCTGTCAACTGAAAAGGCACACTGTGCCCTTCTAGTGAGCAACCATTTCGAAAAAATGGAGGAGAGTTAACACTTTCTTAAGAAAGGCCTCAGAGTTGTGCAAAACATTTTCTAGACACTGCCTCTGCACTTGAAAATGTGAGCTGGCAGTAGTCCCCTAGATAATCAAGACTGTTGCCAAACCTTCAATCGAACCATTTCAATGTTGTACACAATATTGCCACGTCGTACCTTAGGTCTTCAGTCATCAAATAGTGTGTGCATTAAGTTAACGCCAACCTTAACGCCCAGATTATGCTTCTGTGCATTTATTCGGAGGATATTATTCTAGCAAGCCAGGTGAGCGTTTCGAGACAATCTTCAATATTCGAGGCAATTTAAATTCGAGGCAATCTTTAAAATGTGCAGAAAATCAGTGCATCTCTCAAGCATGTAATTTGGCATAAATTAATGAAATGTGCAAAGGAACATACCCAGTGAATTTTATTGAGATCCATTGATCTACAAAAATCGCCGGAGTTTCGCTTTAGGAGCACAGCACTACTTTCAGTTTTTTGCTCAATTAGCTGTTTAGTCACACACTGCACATTCATACTGTCAAACCGCACAAGGGGTCATGGCAATTATGCTGAAAAATTTTACCTGTGTCAAAGCAGCAATGGGCTCTTCACAGGAAGGACCCAATTCCCTAATTGACTCGACTAGCTGTTGCCACCAATTCAAGAGTTACTTTAATCTTTAAGTAGTCATAATTAATGTCTTCAGTATATTTCAATGTTTTCTACTACAGAAAGAGTAATCAGTAAGGCAGCAAGTAAACATTAAATTTCTCCAACTTTAAAGCATTTTCAGAAACTTTTCTTGAAGCACCTTGAACACCATATTGATTGGGTGGTGCCACCAAATTTAGAGGCCCTAAAAAGCCATTTGTAGGCTTCCTCTGTATGCAAGGACACTGAGCACAAAGTGTTGAACTTTGCAAATGTTTAGAACATATCTTAATTCACTTCCAAAGTGTGCCTAAATGTTCACTCTCGCGGTTGAAAACCCTCGCTAATGCGACTGTTACTGACGTCACTGTGTAGGAAGTGTAACAAAAAAATTTAGTGACGCCACACCACATTACAGTAACGTGAAAAGAACAGTGACTGACCAACAACTCTGTTGCGCCAGGCAACCAATAGGCTAACATACTAATTTTTCTCAGCGTGTTGGCGAAGTAGCCAAACTTACTATCCTTTTGGAAAGTGCTTCGCATCATCATGCAAACGTTTGAAGGCAACTTTAGTGAATTTCACTTTGTTTACACATCTTGGCTTAAGCATACTGGGTTACCGCAGCTGTAAATGAGAGCCCAGTTTGGTGGGGCCACTTTGCATCACTAAGATATATCAAGGCAGCACAAAACTGTTGTTGCAGATATCTGGCACATTCTAATAGGGCTTGCAACTCTCCGCCAAATCGGCTATTCGGTGAAACCGGAGAAAAGTAAATCCGGCCAGCTATCCGGATTTAAAGAAACTGCAATTCTGCTTATCCAGTTTGAATGAACGTGCATCCGGTTATTCGAATATTTAGTCTCGCTAAGAGCTTATTCAAAATTTAAGTGCTATAGGATACGCACCGACATAACGTGTGCAGCTCGTTAATTCATTACTGATGTAATCACTAATGCCCCGTGCAAATACTTTCCGTTTCTCAACTGTGCATGCACTTTCACACCATGCGGATATTCATATTGTTGCGGTTAAAGTCGAAGGGTGTCTATTAGCAGGGCGAGGTTGATGGTAGGGTAATAATGATGTCAGTATCTGCACCAGTTCATGTCTTCCTCCTCTTCTCTTTCGGCTGATACCCATGGCATTTCCCGGCTCCCAGACGAAGCCCGCTGGGCGAGTATGAATCACTTGGATCAATTGAATCAATTCGTTTAAGGCGAGCGACATGAACCAGCTGAGTCTAGTTTGACCAACGGCCAACTTATGTCAGCCGTGCTACCACCTATGTCAAATTGCTCAAGAAATCAACAATGATGAGTGGGCCACTGTACTGGGGTAAAAACTTCTCGCATAGGCCTCGTTTACGTTGTGACGTCCACAACCACACAAAGTCTTCTTTGCAGTATGCGACAGACTGATGGCGACTGTCAAAGCTTTCCTTCGATCGGTGTTGCGAAGCAACAGTACGAAGGCGAGCAATACGCTGGGCTTCTTAGGCTAGGCAGAGTGTCTTGGAGACAGAGTAGTCGCTATGGAAGTCAAATGGTAGAATAGTATCAATGCAGCTTAACGGTGAACGTGCGCGAAGGAGGTAAAAAGGACTGTAATTGGTTGTCTCATGTTTGGCCTTGTTATATGCATAGGTAATGGAGGGGAGAACGTCATCCCAGTCCTTGTGGCCAGATGATACGTACATGGCCAACATGTTAGCCAGAGTTCTGTCCGTACGTTCTACCAGTCCATTCGTCTGAGGGTGATAGGGGAATGAATGGCGGAACTGCGAATGGCACTGACGAACCAGTTCTTCGATGGCATCCCCAACGAACTGACGACCACGATCACTCTGGGAGGGCCATGCCGAAGAATGATGAATCTAAGCAAAAACATGGTCACGCACACCGCTGTCGAGGATGATATCGCCGCAGTTTCTGCGTAACGAGTCAGATGGTCGACGCATACTATCACCCATCGACTGTCGTTAGACGAGCATGAAAATGGGCCCAAAAGATCGATACCAACTTGATCAAATGGTAGATGAGGAGGTGGCAGTGGATTGAGAAGACCTGGCGGAGGAGTCGCAGGCTGCTTGTAGCGTTGGCATTGTTCGCAACTTGCGACATAGTGCTTGACTGTGTCCCGCATTCTGGGCCAGTAAAAGCACTCTTGTGTCCTATTTAAAGTTCTGATGAACCCCAGATTACCAGCTGTCGCATCATCGTGCATGGCTTTCAGTATGTCTAATTGTAGTTTCTGTGGTACGACCAGAAAGAAGCGTGGGCCTTTAGCCGAATAATTTGTCTTGTATAGAAGGCCGTCACGGACACAAAAGCGGCCGATGGCTCGAGTACGGGATGCCACAACAAGTAATGGCTCCAAGCTGATATCAGCCTCTTGTTCTTTCTTGAAAGTAATTAGGTCTGGGAATGTGGAAGAAATGGAGGCAAGACAGTCATCAAAACTGTCTTCTTCACACTCAGTCGTATTCAGGAAAAGACGAGAGAGACAGTCGGCATCTGCGTGGCGGCGTCCACACTTGAACGAGAGGACGAAGTCATACTCCTGAAGTCGAAGAGCCCAACGCGCCAGTCGGGTCACGAAGATTCACCAGCCAGCTTAAAACGTGATGGTCGGTAATGATAGTGAACGGACGTCCATAGACATAAGGTCGAAATTTGTGTACCGCAAAAACAACTGTCAAGCATTCTTGTTCTATTACGGTATAGTTGCGCTCAGCTTTGTTGAAAAAGCGACTGGCATAAGCCACTATGTGCTCAGCTCCTTGATGGCGCTGCACAAGTACAGCACCGATGCCGATACTCCCGTAGGCACGGACACATTGAAGTGACGCAGTATGGGCTCCGACATTACTAGAAACTTAAGCTGAAAGAACGCATTGTCGCAAGCTGAAGTCCAGTTGAAAGGGACGTTTTTTTAAAGAAGACATGTTAGGAGATGCACCACGTTGACGAACCTCGAAACAAAACGACGAAAATATGAGCACAGGCCCAAGAAGCTCCTCAATTCCTGCATCGATTTTGGAGGTTTGAAAGAACTGACGGCCTCGATTTTTCACGGGTCTGGCCTTACTCCATTTTAGTAAACGAGATGCCCAAGTACTAATGTCTCCGTTTCACCAAGACGACATTTCTCAGAGTTTCGGATCAAGTCGGCCTTTTGTGTACAATTCAAAAACAAGACTGAGACGCCTGTTATGTCGTTCAGTGTGCTGCCGAAAATCACCACATCATCTAGGTAGCACAAATGAATTTCCCATTTAAGTCCTCGAAGTATTGCGTCTATAAATTGTTCGAACGCTGCCGGTGCATTACAAAGACCGAACGCATAACATTAAATTCATAAAGACCATCAGGTGTCACAAAGGCCGTTTTCTCTTTGTCATTTGGATGCATGGGTATTTGCTAATACCCTGATCGCAAATCCAGTGACGAAAAGTAGGCAGGGAAATGCAGGCAATCAATGACATCATCAATTCTGGGAAGCGGCTACACATCCTTTTTGGTTACCGTATTTAGTTTTCTATAGTCCACGCAAAACTGCCATGATCCATCCTTCTTCTTTACTAAGATCACCGGCACTGCCCAGGGACTTGGATGACTCTTGGACACCACCTTTCCATAACATGTCGGTGACCTGTTCAGTTATCACTACCCTTTCTGTCGACGACACACGGTAAGGTTTTTGACAAAGGGGGCGTGCAGATCCAGTGTCAATTCTGTGATGAGCACGCTAACGCGGTAGTGAAGTCTCTGTGTCATAAGGACTCGTGCAAGAGCGTGGCATTAATGTGGGGGTAGAGACTTGCTGATCATTCCTATCTGTTCTTCAGAACTGCTTCTCTGGGGGTTGCTTTTTTCAGACTGCTGCTCTTCGCTTAAAATGGTGATAGCGCCATACGGGATTTCGTCGAACTCAGCAAGCTTCATACCACGCGGAAGAACAGCAGGCACCCAAGAACAATTGAAAGCCCATAAGCTTGAGGCTCCATTCACAACTGTCACGAGAGAACGAGGCACATGTACATTTTTCTTCATGCAACCCGTCGCAAGTGGTTGAATTCGCGCGTCAAATGATGAAAGGTCAACAACAGAAAGATTAATAGGAACACATAATAGAGACCACGGCGCTAAAAGAAAATCAGTCGACACGACGAAACAGTTTTTGCCCAGTAAAGATGTCTCAGCAAGCATGAACAAAAGCGCGTTATTCACCGTTATTTCGCCTGAGCCACAATTAATGGAAGCACCACAATCCTGAAGAAAGTCGATCCCAAGAATCACATGATGAGTGCACCGCGGTAATACCGAAAATTCCGTGACGAGATATCCAGCACTGAACAAACCACTTGCAACACAAATACCTAGAGGAGCGAGGCACTCTACGCGGGCAACACAAAACATCACACAACCATTCTATGGGACCAAGCCTTTCCGATCAAGCCTTTCCTTGAATGTGGCACTCATGACGGAAACTGTAGCACCAGTATCCACTAATGCAGTTGCAGGCACATTATCAATTGACAGACACTTTGTTTTGGTACATCATAATAGAAAGAGGAGTAGTTTGCAAAGAAGGAGACCGGCCGGCAACCTTACCTTCATCGGCCGCGCCGGCTAGTTTGCTGATGGAGGTGGTGGCGTAAAACGTCACCGTGGTGATGGTGAACGGCGTAAGGGACTGGTTGATGGTGTCACGCTACGGTCTGATGCTGGTGAGTCACTCCTCCTGGTGGAGTGGTAGAAGGAATTCCTGGGTGGCGAGCCTGTGGCATTTGTCGCACGATGTTCTGCTGGCCAATGATAATCGTTGACGCCTTCAAAGTTAGGCCAAGTCAGTGGTGGGCCATACCTCGTCTGGCAGAGACGGCGACAAAAACGAGAGATGTGTCCTATGGCACCGCAGCTGTAGGAAACAGGTGAAGGGCGACTGACGTTGTAGACTTCGGGATAAGCAGCCCTCGGACTCTGCGAGTAGTAGACAATCTTCCAAGTGCCGATTCGTGGTCGTACCCTGATAAGCACGTTGGTCATGCGTCACGTCGTCAGGTGGTGCTGTTGTAGGGGATCGGTTCGACTGTCTGCAACGCCTGGCATGGCGGAAAGTGAAGAAACCAATGGTGCAGCTTCGTGAGGTTGATTAAAAACGCAACCAAACTGTTAGACCTTCACGGCGTTCACTGATTTGCTGTTTCGCTCGAGTTCCTCACAAAAAATTTGCCTCACAGTGGTCAAAAGGTTTTGATGCATACTGTAGCTGTCCTCAATGCTTGCAACCGTCGCAACATTCGCCAACCTGCCGAACTACGACGTGATACGGTGTAGCTTCAAGGTCTCAGATGTGCAGCAATGATTGATCACCTCAGCTACCGAATTGAGACTCACCTTGCTAATCATGTAGGTATACATGTCTTCGGCAATACCTTTCAGAAGATGCCAGACTTTGTCCTCTTCGGACATAAGAGGATTCGCCATCTTACACAACTTCCCGATCCTCTCAATGTACGTGGTACAAGTCTCACCTGGCACTTGAGCACGCTGAAGTAATGTTTTCTCGACTCGCTTTCTTTTCGCAGTGAAATCCCCAAAGCACTCTGTGAGTTGGATGGCGAAGTGATCCCAAGTTGTTAGCGACTCTTCGTGGTTCTCGAACCACACAAGAGCAGTGTCTGCCAGGAAGAGAGCAACACACTCTAACTGAGCCGTAGCATCCCAGCAGTTGCACTTGTTCACACGTTTGTAGTGAGTGAGCCATTATTACACGTTCTCGCCGACTTTCCCTGAAAAAGGGCGCGGCTCCAACTGATGCATCCAGGCACCAGGTGTCCGCGCCGGAGGAGCTGAAGATGACAATAGGTCACCATTGTTTGACATTGCGAGTTCCGGTAGTGTTAGAGGCAGTCGCGCAAGGACCTAGCGGCAGTGGCTCTGTCCTCTTAGGCGATTACCTTGCACCCCCATGACAAAACTGTTACGGTTAAAGTTGAAGGGTGTTTATTAGCAGGATCAAGGTTGATGATAGGGTAATAATGTAGATCCTAAACTCGTGGCTCACACCCACTCTGGGGGATCGGCCAAGAATCTGGTAGCTTACTAAAAAAACGAATGTATATAAATAATACTGGTGAAATGAAAATTAACAGAAATATTGTTTTTTTGTGTAAATAATTTTTGAAAACTTAGATGAAATAATTCCTACTGACTGAGCAAAAATTGATTGATATCAAAGAAAATTTTTCAATAGCCTACGTGGGTTAACTGAGAACCTTTTGGTATTGAGGTTATTAAGTAAATCTCTTAGACTGTACAATGATATCTTGCACGGCCGCGCACACTTTCCCATAGCTGTGCCCTAGGGTATGTGCACCTAAGGATTGTAAATTTGACGTTGTCAAAGCTCAGCCAAAGATTCGTAATGATATTTCTAGTGATATCTTTCTTAATGTTGAAAACTTTCTACAAGAGATGAAAAAGTGCTCCACAGTTTCCTCTTCTCCACAAAAAGAATGAAATGGAGAGGGAGTCAAACCTGCTCTAAATAAATAAAAATTTAATGGAGGAATACGACAGCGAAATCGAGTGATTAAAACTTCCAGCCATCGGTTATGACATGAGGAAGTTTTCCAGAGTGTCATTAGATGGTTGAAATCCATAGAATTTTTTAAAGATGGTGTAGAGAATTCTCGCATCATCATTTGCCTCCGAAATCTAGAAGCGACTATAAAGGCTGTTGTAGGGGCAATATTGATAGCTGGTCCGCCTAGCGCCGCTTTCACTAGTGCATCAGCTGTTTCATTTAGAGTTATGCCTCTATGCCCCGGCACCCATACTAATCGCACCTGGTTTAAGTGATTCGGTACTAGGGAGTTGGATTTGCCTAACGTTTTAGAATCACCGGATGCCATGAGAGCACTGCAGACCGACAAGGAGTCTGTTATTATCATGACGGAATTCATTTATATTGGCAGTTTTCGAAGAGCCAATACTACGGCTAAAAATTCTGGAATAAAGATAGGTGTGAAATCTGGGATTCGGAGAGAAAAAGGACCAGTCTACGTTGGTATCTGCACCTGTTCACGTCTTCCTCCTCTTCTCCTCTCTCGGCTCATACCCGTTGCAATATCTAATGAAATGTTTGTGAATAGGTAATCACCTTTCAAGAGGCATTATCACTAGTGACCCATGTAATGTTCCTACATTAAGATAAATGAACAATATGAGATGATCAATAAAAGTACATATCGGACATGAACAAACAGTTGTTACGTTTCCTACAAACACGAGACTCTAAGAAAACGAATATTTATACTAGCATTACAAAATAAAAATCCGGTTATTCAATTATCCAAACATCAAGGTATTGTTAATTGAATAACCAAACGAATATCTGGTCAATCCGGTTTTCGAAATCGAATGACCAATGAATCGAATAACGGGATAACCGGTCTAATGTTGAAAACCTACATTCTAATTCTCTGCTGGTGTCAATCCTCATCAGTGATGTAGTTCCGAATGCAAAGCTTTTTTAAACATTTTTCACCACGATCACTCAGGATAAACAAAAAAAACGTTCCTATAATTGTGGTTGCATGAAGTGTCACAAGATGTCAATACCATTATCTAGTAACCGGGTGCTCTGTAAAGATCTCTGCACATAGTGGAATTTTATACGTGCTATTACTTTTTATTAGAAAATTTCCGTGGATTTTGACGGTAGCCAGACAGTTGCCTTTGTATGTGTGTTTAAAAGCAGAGGATGTACCACTCTGTGTGTTCCAGGTTTGTGGGCCCACGTGCTCTAGCTTTCAACGCAATAATATCACTGTCCATCTTGGCACCCAGAAACCGCTGCTAGAAGCAGTAATTCGTGTAAATAAGGAGATATGAAATTATTTAGCAAGAATACGTGAATCCTGAAACACGCATCATGCTTCCTAGAAGAATAAGAAACATTTTCAATAAAAAACACGCAAGCCTCAAATTTTATGGCAACACCTCATTAAGAAAACTACCAAAGCGTGCTGACACAAGAACCCAGACAGAGAAAAAGATGCATGTACATTGTAAGATTGCCCTCTGGGCTGTAACAAGAAGCTTCACTTCCAATAAATGCTTCAGTGCAACTGTTGGAAATCGGCTATACTCTTCATTTATCCACGCATGGCTAACTTTTGTACAGGTTGAAATGAAATGGAGATTTTGTACGTCTACTTTCCTTACTTTTACCAGCCATACACAAGGATAACACGAGTAGAACTCGCCATGGTACCTTATCAGGTATGGTGTAGCACTTTTAAGCACAAAGACATGGGTTCGTTCAATTCTTGGAGATGATGGCTGCATTTTAATGGAGGAAAAATTCAAAAATGCCCATGCATTTAGATTTAGGTGCATGTCCAAAAACCTCATATGGTCGACGTTATTCTAATAATTATGGTTTTAGGTAAAATACACTATAAATTATGCCACCTTTGGCAAAATGATTAAAGTAGAAATATGGAAGACAAATGGCCTACTACACAACAACAGCTCAATTGAGCTCTGGACTTCATACTGTAGCGCAGCACTATTAGTGGCAAGCCAGCCAAAGAAAAAGAGGACGAGCGTCAGTGGTGCGAAGCGCCTAGAACGTTCGGGGGCTTTTGGCTGGTTGGCTGCCACAGCCTCTGCTCTGCTTTGGCATCTCATTTCCTTCCCAAGCAGCACACCTTCGTCCTCACATTAAACCAGCGATGACAGCACGTTGGACACCGTAACGTCGCTGAAATACAGACAACCAGAACGTACACTAAATGTCTCATTTTAGAGGGACCAGGAACCAATTTTTAGGTACCCGTTTTTTTAGTCTAACATTTATATTTTATTTATTTACTTATCAGATACTGCCGGCTGCCTTTTGGGAGCCATTGCAGGAATGGGTACATCACATTACAATGTTACACATTGCATCGTTTCAGTCGACAATGAAATAAAAAAAAAGAAAGAAAAACAGAACAAATGCACATATGTCTAATGATAACACATGCGGCCGAATGTGAACTCAAGACGCGAACATAAAAACCAAGCCCAACAGCATTTGCAATAATACACTGAGGTAAGACACAGGAGCAATAACACGTACAGGATCGAGTGATTGAACACCCGAAAGACGCATACAACATTTCAGAACATGAGTGAAACGGCCAACGAAACAAATAAGCATGTGAACCGAAGGACAGCTTACGTCAACAGAAGAATACCGTGAAATAAATGGTTACCCACATACATTTTAAGCTGTAAAAAAGAAAGAATGACAAGAACTGCGCATAACATCACAGATAATTTTGCACGACATTTGTGAACGCATGAACTGATGATAGGCCGACTATGTCACATCGAAGCTCATTCCATTCTGCTATCGTTCGAGGAAAAAACGAAAATTGATACACCTTCGTTTTAACTCGCGGCCTTACAATCGTCTTACTGTGCTTCCATCTTGTTGGCCTTGCGCTGTTATACTGCATGTAATCAGTGAAGCCCATTCTAATGTTACCGTTTACAATATTGTAAAGCATTTGCAGTCGATGCAGTTTCCTGCGTGATTCTAGCGTTGGAAGTTCGCTTAAATGTCTAAGGTTAGTAATGGACACGTGCCTGCCGTACAAGTTGAAGATGAATCTTAGCGCTTTTTTTTTAACGCGTTCAATGCAATCGATGTCACATTTGGTGTGCGGGTCCCAAACTACGTCCGCATATTATAATAGCGGTCTAACTAATGTCGTGTAGGCCACAAGCTTAGTTTTAGGAGTGCAATGCATCATGCGATTTTTTAGCATGTAAAGTTTTCTCAAAGCCTCGGAAACAATGAATTGCACATGACCACTCCAGCTTAGCGTAGAACTGATATGCAAACGCAAGTATTTAAATTGGTCTACTGAAGCTAATGGAACATTATTGATGCTATAGGTACAAACCAGGGGCTCCTTCTTGCGTGTAACACTCATCTGAACACACTCGGAAACGTTTAGGCGCATCTGCCATGTTGAGCATCAGTTGCTAACAGCTGCTAAGAAGTTGTTTAGTATTTGTTGATCTTTCACTGACTGAATGTGCATGTATGCAACGCAGTCGTCTGCAAATAAACGGCAACATACTGGTGACGTAATCTGTAAATCATTAATATAGATTAAAAAGAGTAACGGGCCGAGCACCGAACCCTGAGGAACGCCTGAAAAAACAGATGCGAATTCTGAGTCCGAATTGCCTATGTGAACAAATTGCCCACGCCGTGTAAAGTACAAGTCGAGCCACTGTACTATCTGAGGATTGTCAAAAAGGCATCGGATCTTTAACATTAAATGTCGGTGTGACACACGGTCGAAGGCTTTTTTCAAAATCAAGTAAAACCATGTCAATCTGTCCGCCCTTGTCAAGCATTACCATTAGATCATTTACAGTGTGAATAAGTTGCGTGTAAGTGGACAAACCGCGCCGAAAACCATGCTGACTACTTAAAAAATAATTGTTATCCTCTAAGAAAGAACAGATATGCTTAAATATGAAATGTTCCAAAACCTTGCTACAAGTGCACAGTAGCGAAACTGGTCTGTAGTTGATTACTTTAAGTTTGTCATCAGTCTTATAAATAGGCACCACCTTTCCAGTTTTCCATTCTAAAAGTATTCCCGCTGTCCGTATACTTTCTTTAAAGATTATGTTCAGATACTTCGCGCACCATTTGGCATAATGGAAAGCACTGATCTGACCTAAGCCAATCATGGACTTGTAACAAGCAAAATGGTAACGTGCCACAGCTTTACATATTCCGATAGTTGCTGTGAATGCAGTGCGGCTTCTCAATGTGACTTCCTCCTATATTGTAAGCAGAAAACATGGCAGAGATATGTAATAGCGTACGTACTGCAATTTTTAGCTCTGATTATGGTGCACATAAAAGTCTATGACTACGTACTGTCAATGGAGCGACTCCATAGTGTAGCATGAAAGCTTCTTTGCTATGTTGCACAACATAGTGGTTAGGAGAAGAGAAAGCTAGGCTACTTGGTAAGCATTGATTGATTGATATGTGGGGTTTAACGTCCCAAAACCACCATATAATTATGAGAGACGCCGTAGTGGAGGGCTCCGGAAATTTCGACCACCTGGGGTTCTTTAACGTGCACCCAAATCTGAGCACACGGGCCTACAACATTTCCGCCTCCATCGGAAATGCAGCCGCCGCAGCCGGGATTCGAACCCGCACCCTGCGGGTCAGCAGCCGAGTACCTTAGCCACTAGACCACCGCGGCGGGGCTACTTGGTAAGCATTCATTCTGACAAGGCATGTGAGCACAAACACAAGAAGGATGTGACAATGCCTTTAACACTGTCTAACAACTGCAAAGGTGCACAGTGGCAAAAAAGAAAGAAGTCACGAAAGCTTATCTCTGCATGCACAAGCAATAGGTTGACCTATCAATCCAGCACGCATGGGAGTCTATGTACATGATAACTGTTAAGGCACTTGATTTCTTCAATAGACTGTTCATTCATGCATGAGATGCCACTGTTATCGATATGTCAAGCTTCAATAGTCGGATGCATTCTTCATTTCTGTACGTGTATAAAATTGCACATTCATTGAATTGCAGCATGCATTCTTGACAATGTCAAGATAGATTAGGTTAGCCTCTGGATAGCGAACTCTTTTATTTCATTAAACTCAGATTAACACAGCAGCCCATCCCCTCTACATAGTAATCGATGCAACTAAAAGTAAACTTATAAACTACACCTGTATGGCAATTAGTGAATTCATTGGTGCATTTTATAAAAAGATGTCAGTGTGCTTCTCATCTTTTTCTTCTCATTCTTTTTCTCATCTTCTCATTCTTTTTCTGCACAGCTGCACAAAATCTTACCTAGCTCATTGGCAGGCTCAAAAACAACATTAACGTCGTATCTACTTTCCACTTTCTTTAGCCTGTGATATACAAAATAAATCTACGAAATGCCTAAAACATGTTTTTTTATAACATTGAAGCTGTTTATAGGCTGGCCTCAGTTTGTGCAGCCTATCAAAAAATGGGTGTACTTTGTTGATAAACTTTGTTGCAACGGGTTGAGTATAGTTGCTGTAGACACAGTGTATGAATGAAATCGGTAACTACCTGAACTAGGTCACAGTTGAGCTTGACATAAATAATGTTGATGTTTTTGTTTGATGCTAGATTGTTCCAGGCAACGCTAACATCCTTTAACACTCTTAATCATAAATGGCATCTGCGCTTGAAATTCTTTCATGTTGTCAGGCAATATAATGTTGTGAACCCTGCAGAGTAATCAATTGCATAAGCATAAATGCTCAAGAAGACGATAGTCAGTTTTGAAGCTTGGTTCAACTAGAACGGCTATAACAGTACTATAGAGGTCAAGCGCTTTTGAGAAAAAAAAAAACTTAATTACACTATCATAAGGGTTATTAGCTGCGCAAGATAGCTATCGCTTTATTTGTGTGTGTGCGTGCGTGTGAATAGCGCGAAATAAACTAAGCATGTATGGAGGAAGGCCCACACAGAGTCGATACTTTCTCAATTTTTCAAACGAAACCATAAATATAGTACACTGCGAACAAGTTGTCCTTTGTGAAGCTTCGTCGCATTTAAATTTGTTTAATTTTGATCGCAAGCACCTTATTGGCGATCCCTGAACCATTTTGAAAATGGTTCAGGGATCATTCGGGAATCCGAATGAACCATTCGGGAATCCGGACTCAATTTCACGTTTCCTACCGGTAAACTATACTTTGCGACTTCGTTTTGTTTTTCGCGCGAAAACGCTAGCGATTTGCTGTCAAGCCAAACCTCCTAACGACAGAAGCGATCGAACAGCGATGCAATGACTGGTATGATGATGCACTGCGGCGTTCACAAAATATACACACATATATAAACACTTTTTACGTACCTCACGCTGTCGACGGCAACGCTGCGCGGGATCGCATAAGGCAAGCGTAATGTATTTCGAAAACGTTGGCAGTTGCATAACATACTCCTGAACAACAAACATGGCAGTACGTAAATGCGATCGTAATCGCCGCTCAGTCCACAAGCACATGTTCCTCCGTGTGTATACAGGAGGAGGGCGTGAAACAAATGGACCTCAACATAACGTGAGCTAATGCGGCGACGATTGTAAATGGTTGCCAGACTTGCAAACGTAGTTGCCAAAATTGACAAACGCTACTTCTACCAATGTTTTTGTAACTTTACCTTAATTTTGTCGCGTATACTGGCTCTCTAGAATTTTTATTAACATTTTTTAAGCTCGCTGGTTTCTTTTAGTTTATTTATAGCGCAGGAGCGTAGAAGTTGGGTCAGTACACGCTTGCTACTTTGTACATTTTTAATCTCGGAGGTTATGCATTCCTAGTAAAGATAAGTTGGCAGCGTCTCGTGCGCCGCGCGGCGCTCCAGCCATCTCCACACAGAACTGGCTGCTGCGCCGCACGGAAGTGACGTCACTTTAAAAAAATTAACGTAAAGCTATTTAAATGTGCAAATAATTACTTTATAATGCAATAAACTTACAAAATTGTTATTAAACAAGTGTGTAACGTGTTTTTTATAGTGCATAAATTAGTTATTAACGCATTGAATCAAAATATTTGTTTTTGTATACTGTTTTTGTAATATTAGTATATATTGCTCAATTTAACAACTTAATAAATTATTTGTTGGTTTATAAGTATTATTAAAAGGAAAATAAGTTGATTGTTTGTTCTGTGCTCGAGGGTGCAGCGGGTTTGCCCCTGGTTTCGGTTTGGAGCGTATTTTGATCCTACGACTACCCTAATACAGTACATGTGTACAGTATTGTACACATACAGTACACATACGTACAGTATCGCACACAATATTGTACAGTACATGTGTACGTTCTACATCGCAATGTGCCATGTCAACAGCATTCGCCGAACAGGGTGTGATAAATCTGCATTGCAACGTCAACAGAGTGTTTCTTTGATAGACCGAGAGGAAATCGGTGGTCTGGCGTCAAATTAATGTGCATCCTTGCCTGTCGACAGAGTGTTTCTTTTGTAGACAGAGAGGAAATCGGTGGTCTGGTGTCAAATTAATAGGCATGCTTGCCTTTCGTTCGCGAAATCTATGCGTCCAGTGACGCTGTTCTGGTACCACGTCTACTGCGGCGCGTTTTTCTGTCATCAGAGCCTCAATAAATAGCGTGAACAGCATTGCTTACCCAGTGGCGGAGGAAACGATGCAGTCAGTTGCATCGTTTTCGCTTGCGGGCCTGGAGTTTTGTGTGTCCTTGTACGTCTCGGCAAGAAAGTGCATCGATTGTTGAACAAGCGTATAAATGTCCTATTCTGCGAGGATAATCAAACATTCGAAATCAAAGGAGGCGGCATTCAGGAAGATCAGTCCAATATGTGCTTAGGAGAAACTTGTTAACTTGTGTCGCAGACAGTACATTGTTGTTATTGATTTCAGCAGTGCTCTGAGGGACGAGGATCTTTCAGTGCGCTGCTAAAATCAAGAATGCGATCCAACTTGCGTATGCAATTTTCAGTTTTCATGCAGCACATTATTGATCGCCTTATATGAAAAAGTTAACAAAAAGTCATTTATGTACGTGCTATGCATGCCACGTTAAGCTTCTGTGCTAACTATACCCTTGCACTGGATATTAAATGTTTACATGCTTACACTCTGAGGAAGAGATGGTCCGCTTATTTCTTTTAAACAAATCTGGAATGTTGGCCATGTTGTCGCTTGTGCCTCTAGACCAGGTAGTCGTGTCTGGACCACCAAGCAAACCAGCTTGACCTTCCTCATGCCCAGGGTTACACATCTTAATTCATGCAGCTACGATGTGCTGCTGCACTTCCACTAAGTATGAGTTGAATATGTTCGCAAATAGACTGCCATATAAAGCACTTGCAGGTGCTCTTCGGTTTTCTTTTTTAGCGTGTTATAGTGCAGCGATTGGTTCGCAGGTAGGACTTGCAAACCTTGTACAGCTATGGACAGGGCTGACTATTGTAGCTTCGTATGCATGTAGAAACCTTTTCCAAGTAGAAAGGTTATTATCATCAACATAAGAGAAAGGTATACAAGCTGTTTTCATCCAACCTTTCTTCACAAATGAGATAAAGATGACTAACCCATTACTACTTGAATTACCAGCCATACTGTACAGGTTGCCATCAATTTAATTAATGCAACATTAAAACCACACTAATTCATTAATTTCACCTGTGACGACAATGTTAGTACAGTCAGCATTAGGCCGGCAATCGTGGCACTGCACGAGAGCCTCTTTTAATGTTGCCTATAGCAGCTAGATTACAAAAGCACTACAATTTTGTCGAAAAACTCACATGATCTACGAAGTCTTCACGTCTCGCTATTGAGGTGACCAGGGCATGGTTGGAAGTGCTGCGATCATATGTCTGACTAAGGAGCTGAAGTGCTTGCTTCATGTGTGATGCCTGTATTGCGTTGATTTGCTTGCATCGGATCCATGCATTCATTGTGCACGATGACCTAAACTGATACGACACATGCATTTTAATCTCTCATAACATAGACAGATTAAGAGATGCCCTTCTTGGCTACTTAGTTCATAACTGAAGCTCAACAGTGGCAGGACAAAAACATGTGGGTCTAAAGGACCGGGCAAAATCCTCCTGACCTTATATGATGGTCTACTGACAAATTTTGTCGCCTCCTCACCTACGCCAAATTTAGTGTTAGTTATAAACGTTCGGCGATTTTAAACTTCCAGGCTTCAGTTTTGTCACTTTATCTATCTTGGCTAGTGATAAGGTAGCCCATGCCTTACTATAAAAGCTTGTTAAGACTTTCGCCTAACTCAGTTTATCACGAAGCCTATACAAATTGTAGGTTCTGATTTTGATGAGATAAACCTTGAAACTTCTTTTTCTGAGAGCCTTTTAGCTCTATGTTCTCCCCATTTTTTTAAACAAAATTAGACGCCGTTCAAAAATACCCGAACTCATGATATGACACATACCTGTTACAAAAGTACGGTGTAGTAAATGTGCATTTTTGCCTCAAAGAGCCAATAAAAAGAAGAAACAAAAATGTCTGTGTAGGTCTACACTGTACCCTATTAATCCTTGGGAATTCAACAGCAAGTGATATGGATTACAGAAAAATGCTCAAAGCCTCAAGCCGCCAGTTGAGGTGCTGTGCACTATCATCATCAGCCTGACTACGTCCACTGCAGGACAAAGGCCTCTCCCATGTTTCGCCAGTTAACTCGATCCTGTGCTTGCTGCTGCCACTTTACACCCACAAACTTCTTGATCTCATCTGCCCACCTAACCTTCTGTCTCCCCCTAACTCTCATGCCTTCTCTGGGAATCCAGTTAGTTACCCTTAACGACCAGCAATTGTCCTGTCTATGCACTACATGCCCAGCCCATGTCCATTTCCTCTTCTTGATTTCAACTATGATATGCTTAACCCCGTTTTGTTCCCTGATCCACTCTGCTCTCTTTTTGTCTCTTAAAGTTACACCTACCATTTTTCTTTCCATTGTTCGCTGCATCATCCTCTATTCAAGCTCAACCCTCTTTGTAAGTCTCCAGGTTTCCGCTCCGTAGCTAAGTACCAGCAAGTTACAGCTGTTATATATCTTCTTCTTGAGGGATAGTGGCAATCTACCTGTCATAACATGAGAGTGCTTGCCAAACGTGCTCCACCCCATTCTTATTCTTCTAGTTACTTCAATCTCTTGGTTCGGCTCCGTGGTTATTACCTGCACTAAGTAGACATAGTCTTTTACTAAAAACTCGCGCTCAGCTTGACGACTTAACTCATCGCCGCAGAACTGCCCGCCTTTCGCTTCTCCACAAGCTCTATCATCACCCATACCTTCACCGCATTATCGAAGCACCAACAGTCATCTTTCCACGCACAGACCATATCTTCAAGATAAAATGTATAACTTGTCACTCAGCTCATTACGCTAATTCCTTCATTCCCCGAACAATAGTTGCATGGAATAGCTTGCCATCCCACATTGCCACTCAAGCAGATTCCCAACATTTAACGAACTTTTACTCAACATTTCCGATTAGATATCCACCGCGCGTACTCTCATTAAGCTTCTTCATATGTACATCAGTGTTTATTTTTCTTGTTATCATGTGTTAATGTTTTTCACGACCATTGTACACGCTTGATTCGTATTATTTATGTGTTAATTACGAACTTTTGTATCTTAAGATCATGCCATCATTTTAGTTTTTTTTCCTTGTATACTGTATTTGTTAGTGCTCTTAATTTATGTTTCCAGTATTCAATATTTCATCTCTACTTAATTTTTCTTTTTTTCATAGTATCTGATTTTGGTTGTTGTTGTTGCTTTTTGTATTTAGCTCGCTTTCATTATTTTGTTTAATCTTGTTTTTAGACTCTATAAGCGTACAAAAATTTGTTTCATGTGTTTGTTCCCCTATGTAATACCCCTTCGGGGGCCTTTAGGGGTATTATGAAATAAAAATAAATAAACAACTTGAAGTGCACTATTAACTATCTTGAAGCACTGCTCTCTTCCGAGGTTGTTGTACATTACTTTCGTTTTCTGCAGATCAATTCTAAGACCCACCTTTCTGCTCTCCTTGTCTAATTCTTTAATCATGAGTTGGAATTAGTCCCCTGAGTTACTCAGCAATGAAATGTCATCGGCGAAGCGCAGGTTACTAAGGTATTCTCTATTAACTCTTATCCCTAACTGTTCCCATTCTAGGCCTCTGAAAACCTCCTGTAAGCACGTGGTAATAGCATTGGGGAGATTTTATCCCCCTGCCTTACACCCTTCTTGATTGGTATTCTGTTGCTTTCTTTATGAAGCATTAGGACAGCAGTTGATCCCCTGTAGATGTACTCCAGGATCTTTGTATATGCTTCATCGACGCTCTGATTCCGCAGTGTCTGCATTACTGATGATATTTCTACTGAATAAAACGCCTTCTCGTAATCTATGAAGGGTATGAATAGTGGTTGGTTATATTCTGAGCATTTCTCTATTATTTGATTGATAGTATGAATGTGGTCGATTGTTGAGTATCCTGTTCGAAATCCTG